ATACCCCATAGATATCCGTTTGTTTATTTTATGTGTGTTTTTGCTGTTTTTTTTATTATTCACTTATTTGTTTATTCCTTTTTTTCTATATTAGTATTATTATTTTGTTTTATTTATTTATTTATTTATTATTTTTTTGTAAGAACACTGTGTTATCATCTATAGGTCCATAGCCGATATTTTTTCTTGTGTACTAGATTTTAAAGGAAAGAGGAGTGGAGTGATAAGCACCCAATCACCCACAAATGTGAGTGTATTAGTGTCCTGGTCAACCCCAAATTTAACTTTAGGTCCAAGTACGACCTGTTTCACCCTCTACAATATCGGCATACTGCCCTTGACTAAATTTTCCATTTCCCGCATAAAAAGAACAAATATAAAGCTCCTGCCATGCATCTCTAATATATATATATATATATATATATATATATATATAATATATATATATATATATATATATAATATATACACACACACACACACACACCACACACACACACACACACACACACACATATATATATATATATATATATATATATATATATATATATATATATAATATATATATATATATATATATATATATATATATATATATATATATATATTATATCCCATGATAATAAAGCCCCACTGTTTCTAGGGAAGCGCACGTCTATGCAGTCCCACGATAAGAGAGTACCATGATAACGTAATCTCATAAATCCCATAATTAATTGGGTCCGATTTCCATGATAACACACGCTCACGACCCCCCCCCCCCAACCACCACCCATGAAAACGCAAAATCATCCCATGATCTCTATGATAACGCATATCCATGAATCTCGTGGTGACACAATTCCAGGAATTCCATGAAGTACTTCATAATAACACAATCCTACGATGGCACAGTGCCAGTTCTATGGCGCCGAAAGTCCATGCTTTCCAAAATAACGCAGTTGCATGCATCTTATCACAACGAAATCTCATGGATATCCTGATAACACAGTCTCTTGCATCCCTTGTGTTGTGTGGTGCAGCGGTTAGCGCGTTCGTCTAGCAATCTTGCAGACCTGCGTTCAATCCCACGCACTTCCAGTGGATGGTAGCTCTGGCCATCCCTTGCACACAGGGGGGGGATTGGGAAAGAAAATAAAACAGCATTTCACAGTAAACAATATGCACTGCAACAAATGCAATTAAACTAAATTTTTGTGTGCTGTGCTGGCGCAGTGGTTAGCGTGTTGGATGGTAACCCCGGCCATCCCTTGCACACAGGGGGAGATTTGGAGGCAAACTAAAACAGTATGTCACAGCAAAGAATATCCATTGTACCAGATGGAATTAAAACTAAATCTTGGTATCACAATCCTACGAGTCCCTGAGACCACAATCCCTTTCCCTTCGCAGGTTTTGGCCGTGGTGCTAGCAGTGTCGTCCCGGGGCCACGGGCAGGGCTTCCATCTCCCTCTCGATGGACCCCTGGAGGCGCCCTTGCCCGAGGACTTCCTCACCATCGACCCTTACGCCGACGGGGACATCAAGCACGACCACGACATCATCATCTTAGAGGACGCCAACGACCCTAAGTCTTCTGCGCACGGCCCGCTCCTCCCTCCCTCCTTCGGCCTGCCTCCCTCTCTTCCTCCCGCTCTCCCTCCGTCTTTCGGGAAACCTTCCTTTCGTCCCTCTCTCAGCAAACGTCCCCATCTAGCTCCTCCTGTCGGTAAACATCCCGGTCTTCCTCCGCCTGTCGGCCTCCCCCATTCTTTCGGCAAACCTCATTCTCTCGGCAAACCATCCACCCTCCCTCCCTCTTTCGGAAAACCTCATTCTCTCGGCAAACTACCCTCCCACCCTCCCTCTTTCGGAAAACCTCATTCTTCGGAAAACTCCCCACCCTCCCTCCCTCTTTCGGCAAACCATCCACCCTTCCTCCCTCCTTCGGCAAAACGCCCCACCCGTCCGCCCTTTACCGGCAAGCCCTCC